AAGCTGGGGGAAGGAGGAGAGGCTGGGGGAAGGTGGGGTTTAGCAGAATGAAAGGGACTGTGGTGTTCTTTCTCCGGGGTTGATTGTTCCCAGATGTGCAGTTGCAAAAACATCTGGCGCGGTCGGAGCCGCCGGACCCCCGCACGGAGGGAGCGGAGCCCGGGGAAGGGAAGGGGGAACAGCGGGGCCCGCCCGGCGGGGACGGGGGCGGCTTCAGCCCCTCCTCGGTGGCCTTGGCTGAAGGGGGGACACCTTGGGGACACCCTGGGGACACCCTGGGACACTGTGTGAGCACCGTGGGGACACCCTGGGGACACCCTGGGACACCCTGGGACACCCTGGGACACCCTGGGGACACCGTGGGACATCGTGGGACATCGTGGGACATCGTGGGACATCGTGGGGATACCGTGGGGCTCCGTGGGACACCGTGGGACACCCTGGGGACACCCTGGGGACACCGTGGGGACACCGTGGGGGTCTCTCCGGGGTCCCGGTCGGGAGCAGCCCTGGCGTGGCCCCCGGGGCAGACGTGACCCGACTGTCCCCGTCCCGCAGCCAAAGCCCGCGAGCTCCGGCCAAGGCTGGGGGGAAATCCAGGGAATCGGAGCTCGGGAGGAGCCGCGAGGGCTGGAGATGGGGATGGGAGCGGGGGAAACCCGGAGCTGCGGCCTTGGGAGGCGGGGAGGACAGCGGGGACGGCTCCAGAGGGGGTGTGCGGCTGTCCGTCTGTCCATCCATGGATCCACTCAGCCCCCATCCATCCATGGATCCATGGATCCATCCGTCATCCATCCATCCATCCACGTTCCCATGGATTTAGGGGATGCCCGAGCAGTCGCAGCACCCGCCCCCGCCCCACCCCCCGCAAACAATTCCTTTCCCAAGGAATTGGAAACCTTGGAAAAAAAGCCCCAGAGTTCTGCTCCGGGGGGTCCGGATCGGTCACATCCCGGGAATGATCCCGAGACTGATCCCACATCCCGGGAATGATCCCGGGAATGATCCCGGGACTGATCCCACATCCCGGGAATGATCCCGGGGCTGATCCCACATCCCAGGAATGATCCCGAGACTGATCCCACATCCCGGGAATGATCCCGGGAATGATCCCGGGACTGATCCCACATCCCGGGAATGATCCCGGGGCTGATCCCACATCCCGGGAATGATCCCGAGACTGATCCCACATCCCGAGACTGATCCCACATCCTGGGAATGATCCCGGGGCTGATCCCACATCCCAGGAATGATCCCGAGACTGATCCCACATCCCGGGAATGATCCCGGGAATGATCCCGGGACTGATCCCACATCCCGGGAATGATCCCGGGGCTGATCCCACATCCCAGGAATGATCCCGAGACTGATCCCACATCCCGGGAATGATCCCGGGAATGATCCCGGGACTGATCCCACATCCCAGGAATGATCCCGG